ATCATCTAAAACCTTTCAATATAACAGATAATGAAGATCCGTCCATTAACTGTTCATCTAATTTTACCATAACTACTGAACTGGATCAACCGTTTGCTACCGTAATTTACTATGTCAGTGCGGAGGATAATGATGGCTTTTTACCAAATATCACGACCTCTAATCCTGCATCTGGAAGTCAATTGGACATTGGAGTAACAAGCTTTATTATATCAGCAACTGACCGATCAGGAAACACAGCCGAATGCAGTTTTTATGTGACTGTATCTGGTATGTATGTTTAATTTTATTCAATAGATAATAACTTTTTTTATATTATAAAAAAAATAGACTCATGTCGATGTCGTTAAGAAGCCAGTAAGTGGCGATATATATACTGTTGGCTAGATTACTAAATATATAATAAATAAATAAATTTCCTATGCTCCGTAGCTAGAGTCATTGATATGCTAGAGGCATTAATATTTTGTTTGCTTAACGACTACATATAATGCGTCAATTAAGTAAATTTAAAGTTGATACTAAAATTCTGGAAATGTATTATACTTCGATGATATCCAGCATAATTTGTTTTTATTTGATTGGCTGGGGTCAAAGTCTTAGTACTAAAGGTCCACTTGATAAAATTACACGTAGAGCAAGTAAGATTACATCATCAAATTTATGTGATATTAAGCCTAAAGAAAATGCTGTTTTAAACATGGTCACACATATTCTATCCCAACCTACCTATTTCAAGAATATAATTTCCTTCCCTCATTACTTTGCATTAGGTCACATTACACCCGAACTAGCCGATAGTACAAGTCATTCATTCCAACATCAATTAATTTCTTTAATAATCAGGTCTCTAGATAACCCGTTTATTTTGTTATTCCTTCAATTTCAATGTTTTTAAAATTATATATTCAATTTTAAACACTAATCTATATTTCTTGTAAAAAACTGATAATTATAGTTAAAATGAAATAATATATTGTACATAAGATAGGCCTATTTTAATGTTTTATATGTACAAGCAATTTCAATATTTCCATTAATTTTGAAGTTTGTATATAAAATCTTTCTTAATGTCATTTATCAATTGATATCTTATAATGTGTATTTGTACTCTTCCCGTAATGATTTTTTTTGTGTTGCCTTGATGTTTCGTACAGTACAATTGTCTAATGTATTTTTAATGTATATTGGACAAAATAAATGCTGAAAGCACCGCATTCATTCATGGCTTAGTTGAGGCAGATAAACCAGTTAAGGATCTAACAACTCAGAGATAAAAGAAAATATCGTTGCGGAATATTTTAATTTTTAATATTGCAATTGTGTATGCAAGCAAAGAATTTCCCGAAAAGGGATTAAGAAAGTGTTTATCTTATCTTATATTGCGTTGCAAAATAAGATGATTTGAACAACACATAACAAAATACTATTATTTTTAAAATAATTGAATATGAACGATTTCTATTTAGATGACCAGGCTCCAAATGTGACATTTTGCCCATCTAATCTTGAATTTAATACGGAGGCAGGCACAAATTATGCAATCGTTACGTGGCAAGAGCCAACAGCAATTGATAACTCAGGCACAGTTGAGGTCTCATCTCAAACACACACGAATGGAAGCAGATTTTACCTCGAAAGCTCCCCATATACAGTCATCTATACTTTTGAAGATAATAGTTCAAATTCAGATGTTTGCAGTTTTGAGGTCACGGTTATTGGTATGTGTTTGTCAGATAATGTTTAAACAACTTTTGTATCCTAACATTTAAACATAGCTGTACACTCGTTGATTTGAGCATAATTTCAAAATAAGAAAAATTCAGCTGTTATACGGAAGCCATAGTGCTATTTTTATTTAACTGTTATATATTTTTGGCTGTTTTTTTTAGACAAAGAACCACCAGTAACAAATTGTTCGGCTGATATCAGCAGTACTACCAGTACAGGTATGGCTGTAGCAGTGGGGGTCACACTTCCTGTTATTTCCTTTGAAGACAATTCTGGAATGACTGTTAATGTTTCTCAGAATATTGAATCTCCAAGCGACTTTCCAATAGGTTCTACGATGATCGAGGTAAACGGAACTGACGAATATGGAAACACCGCTGTCTGTCGTTATTATGTAAATGTTACAGGTAACCAAATTAAATAAAATTTATGAAATTTGGTTCACAAATGACGTGAACGGTGAATGAATAATAAGTGAATGATTGCTATACTTATCAGAATAATATTAATAATAATATCATAACAATAATAATAAGGTTAGTAAAACGTATGTAGTTCAACAATGATAATATTTCATCCTCCATTAGACTTGTGTTCGTTATAAGTATCCAAATACAATTAAAATTATGAAATTTTGTTCACAAGTGACGTGAACGGTGAATGAATAGTGAGTGAATAATTGCTACCGTATATTATCAATCAGAATAATAGTAGTTTTAATAATAATGTCCACTTTATCGTCACAACAACTGCTACATAACGTTCATGGATGAATAATAATAATATTATTCATAATAATAATAATAGTAATGATAATAATAATAATATAAATATTATAATAGATTAATAAAATGAATGTAGTTCAACAAAGATGATAATTATTTTATCATATAATTATATTAATGCTTATTCTATATAGGCCTATCAGATATTATTCCCCTGAAGACAATTGTAGCACTCAATCGAAACGCCGAGACATTCTCAACCAACAACAGTTCTTTTCAGAACTATCTATGTGGTGTACCTCAAGCATTAATATATATTATTACTTCGCCATGCAAACCTTCATACAATAATTATTTTATTATTAAATAGACTTGAATTAGTTATAAAGTAATACAAAATGATAAAAATAACAGTAGTATTAATAGTAGTATTAATTAATAAAGTTGAATGAGGTTTAACAATAGTGAATATTTCATTGTCATATAGGCTAAATGCAATTGCATCCATCGTGATGTTGCTAAATTATTACATTTAGTTTCGAGATCAATGCAGAAATGATATATTGCTAGTTCATAAAAGGTACGATATATATACAATCCCTCACGAGTGTCGTGTAACTTAAAATAATATACGCTATTGTCAGACTTTCCTCTGAAAAAGTAATTATTATTAGATCCATTCTGATGATAATGTATTAGGCCTATTGTTTTGTACTTGACATAACATTATTTATACACAACATGAAATTCCATTAGTATTAGCATTATTAACTTATAATCCTTTAAAAACACATTCAAGATGATGAAGACCCAGCAATCACCTGCCCTGACAACCAGACTCTACCAGCCGATCAAGGATCAATTGGGAGACAAGTAACATGGTCTACACCGAATGCGACAGATAATAGTGGAGATGTTACTGTCACACTAGCAGATGGCGATCCAGCTTCAGGCAATACGTTTACCTTAGGAGCTCCTCGGATTCTCACATACATTGCAACAGACAGTTCAGGAAACACAGCGACATGCACATTTGCAATTCACATTATAGGTAAGACACGCTTTACATACCTATTAAATTTCATTGTTTATTTTTTCAAATATAAATGTTTTGAAGAAAGCATAATTGACAACCTGCATACAAATTCATAATTATCTCAGATTCATATTTATAATATATACTGCATACACTATTCAGTAATGTGATTAGCTCATGCGATTTGACTCAGCCATGTAGTCAAGTTAATACCTGTGTCAATTATCTGAAGATAAATAAGTTAATTTAACATAATTTTACAGACAGAAAATAATAATGATGATGATGACGATGATGGTGATGACGATACTAATATTAAGAATAATTAAATCATAACAAATAATAAAACTAATATTTTCTGATAGTCATACTAAAATTTAATCTTATAAAATATATAGAGCTTAAATCTGTTTCTACCATCAGCTCTAACAAAAATACAAAAGTTATTAGCATTTATTAAGAAACTAAAAAGTGAGAAAAGAGATAATTAAGATATGAATATGAAGTATTATATATATTGGTATAATATTATCATCGATATAGTTATGAATATGTTTAAAAAGTAGTAGACTACGATACATTCGATACTTCCCAACTTTAAATAGGTCTTTAGTTTAAAGTTTTTATTTTATTAATATAAAATATATTGATTTTGTAATATTTCGAACAAAATATTTTACATTTACACATGCTTGTTTGATGCGTATCAATCATAATAATTTGTTTTTGTCGGAACACTTTATTACGGTGCTATGCAGCAAACTTGAANNNCCTGTCTCTTATACACATCTAGATGTGTATAAGAGACAGATTATGAACTGTCCGAGTGCTATAGTAAACGAAACCGATCCATCAGTGAATTCGACATCAGTCACCTGGACAGAACCTACCTACAGCGATAATACCAACGAAACATCTTTAGTAACAGAGTCAACACATGATAGCGGAGATACATTTTACATTGGAGTTACAACTGTAATTTATACAGTAACAGACGAGTCAGGAAATGTAGCAACATGTAATTTCACCGTTACTATCCTTGGTAAGTGTTTACATATTTAGTTTTCCAGATTTTGTATAATTATAACATTAAATGATAAACAAATCCATAAATATCTGAGATGATGCATAACTGTATACGGCTTGACTGGCTAACTTTAAATATGTACTTAATCTTAGATATGGAACCTCCTACTTACAACTGTTCTGATGATATAAGCGAGAACACATTACCTGGCGTCGATTATGCTTCTGTTACCTGGCAAGCACCAACATACGATGACAATTCATTCAAAAACGTTATTTTGACTTTTTCTCACATGCAGCCAGTAGATTTAAAAATTGGCATTCATGAAATTGTATACAATTTTACTGACGAATCTGGCAACCAGGCATCGTGTTCATTCACAGTTACAATTAACGGTAATTAAAAACAAAATCAAACTTAAACTTATCGTATTATTATTAAAGACTTTTTGTTAATATTTTTACCGTTCATGTTATATATGAATTATATAGATTTTGAATCACCATTTGCAAGTTTTTGCCAGACATCTGTTTTTCAGTGTGAGAAGATAATTTAAAATAAAGTTTGAAATTGGATTTATTATATAAACTGTATTTTTTTTTACTCTTTCAGTTCTTCTAATTATTCGTCCTGATATTTTCATATAAAAATAATGGAATTTTTAATTTTTATTTTTAAATTACGTAATATAACTGTTTCTTTGTTTTTTTTTTACCATTTCAATGTTTTTTATTTCCTCGTTCTGTTATGGCATTTCTACATTAACAATAATTGATTTTTACTTTTAGATTTTGAATCACCAAATGTGAGTTTTTGCCCAGTAAATCTGGAAAATACTACAGCTTTTGGTCTGCCATATCAAAATGTTAGCTGGGAATTGCCAATTGTAAGTGATAATAATGGATGGTTTTCAACAGTCAGTACACATGAGCCATATGATGGATTCAGTATTGGGACCACTGAAGTTACCTACACCTTTACTGATCAATCAAACAATACTGCAACATGCATATTCAATGTAACAATTAAAGGTAAGAATACGACAGAAAAAAGAGAAGTTATAGTTATATGTACTTTAATAGAAATAACAGTCTTATTACTAATACTCAACTACTACTACTTAATAGCACTAATTTACTTTATTACACATTTCAGACGAAGAAAATCCCATAATATCATGCCCGTCCAATTTCAGTCTCACGACTGAACTCGACCAGCCGTATGCTATTGCTGTATATAATGTTAGCGCAGAGGATAATGATGGGTTACCACCAACAATCTCCACTTCTGATCCCGAATCTGGAGATCAAATTGGTATAGGTATTCAGAAGTATTTCATAACAGCAACTGACCAATCAGGAAATACAGACAATTGCAGTTTTTATATCATCGTTGCAGGTTAGTATTTATAGATGTTTTATTTTAAATCCGAGACATATATTTATATATTTATCTATTTATTGATAATGAAAGAAAAAGTAGAGAGATTGAAAGACATAAGAGAAGAGATATAGAGATGTTCAAAACTGTCATGTTTGTTAAGAATTATATTCTATTATGGCTATGTATTTATTTTCAGATGAACAAGATCCAAACGTGACATATTGCCCTGGCGATTTCGAAGTAAATACGGAGACTGGAAGAGATTATGCAATTGCAACATGGCGAGAACCTACAGCAAATGATAACTCAGGCACAGTGGAGATTTCGTATCAGACACATACAAATGGAAGCACGTTTAGTCTCACAGGCTCTCCGCATACAGTCATGTACAATTTTACAGATAATAGTTCAAATACAGCTATGTGCATTTTTAAAGTCACTGTTATCGGTATGTTGATATTTTTTATCCACCAATAAAATAATATTTATGTTAATACTTTATACCTGCTTAAAGACCTAACATTGAGTATAAATATTGTACTTTATTGATTTGAAACAAAATACTTTAACAGTTGGCAAACAAATAAAAACCAAGTGTTCAGCGTTTACACTTTGGAAATATGGCTTGGTGAGCTCAATCTTGCAAAAACCCATTTTGACCTTCGTATCTTGTTCTTAATTTACATGTAAATAATTATTTGTTGATAAATGCTTACTAAGTAATTTTGTCATCTATAATCCCAATAATGGAATGTTTTAATTGACAGAAACTATTATTTGAATTTGAATTTTGAGTATTTTTTTTTAGATGATGAACTACCAACTACAAATTGTACAGGTGATATTAATATTTCTGCAAGCTTAAATATGACATACGCCATTAACGTCAGTCTACCAACAATTACCTTTGAAGACAATTCAGGGCTTGCAGTTAATGTGACACAGAATGTAGAATCGCCGTACGATTTCCCAATAGGAATAACGTATGTAGTGGTGAATGGTACAGACCAATTTGGTAACACTGCTGTTTGCCGGTTTTCTGTGAATGTTACAGGTAATGTTAATTTTTGGATAAAATTAAGCATTAAGCAAAATTTCACTGTTCCCTGGTTATACTTTACTTTAAAATCGTTGACATTGATTGCACTTCATGTTTCTTGATCTCGGAATTTCATCATCAGGAATTCCTGATGATGACATTATTAATGTCGAAATATTGAATACCGACACGATGGCGTGCATTTCGATACTTGGAGTATGTATTATACTATCTTATCTGAGATTAATCAGTGAACCTTTCAGTCTTCATTAACATATTATGTGAAATTAAAAATTGGTACATCATTGTTACATTTATCGTAAAATGGTAATTTATCTGCTTGAGCATTAGGTTATTTTTTCGGAAAGATTTGAACCTATATGTGTGTTATCTTTAAGTTTGAATTTGTTATCGTTCTGATTCTAACAATTTATTTGATTTTACCATTTAAGATATCTACGTTTTCTTGACATTCCACGTTGTTGGATCTTGGGCATATAGTAGAAATGCAGAATTTTATATCAGGAGTTTGTTTTTTTACATCCTTTATAATATTACCATAGTTAGTTGTACATTCTCTGTATTTCTGCAGTCGTTTGTGCTGGCTTGTAAAATAAAAGTGTTGTATGTATAAGTAAAGACTGTTTCCTTTAATACGTTCCAGAATGTCATGTATATTTCCTGGCATGCATAAAACATTTGTATCTGATCTGATAAAAACAGTTTTCGTCCGTTAACTGCTAATTTTGTTCATTTGTTCCGTAGGACTCCAATTGGTTTTCGTCTTCTAATTTCTTCATCTTGTAATTTTATTACATGTTTTAAATGTAATACTTTTGTATCCATGCTTTTTGGTTTTGAACGCAGTTCCTTGCATGGAGGGCAAAATCAAATGGAATTTTTCCCTTTATTGTTTATACACGTTCTATGATACAATTTATCACATATTCCACTTGGATATGGACTTTTCCGTTTGGTTTACAGTTTCATATTCACGTAAAAGTCTCCTTTTCATCATCTTGTGTTAGTTGGATAACATCAGACCCGTCGTTTCCATTGCTTGCCATTTTGTTAGGGCTTTCTTTACGAGTAAGTAATCGGCTTTGTTTTGTGAATGTCGTTGGGTGTTTGAACAATGTTCAACCCACTAAGCGTTGATCGCCATTAACTTATACGCATAATATCCATAGTTTGCTCCAAACGCACAGAAATGCAGCTATATGATGTCTTCCAATAGTGTTCAGAATGCTTGTGTTTTGTGGGTATTTTCTGCCCACTTCAGCTTGTGTGTATCATCCGATACGCCCTCATAATTGTGTTATGAGGGCATATTTTTATTTTTACTACTCTGTTCTCATTTTCGATATTATGTCCTTTTGTGGTTTATTATGGTAATTGTTAGTGGGGTGTGTCACTGCATCCAGTAACACAGGTGTGTAATTAGATCAAATGCCAACGCGCCGATAAGCTCGCTGTAATATCATAAATATCATTCTCTCCTGGGAAGCATGCTTTTATACCATTAGAAGAGTATTATTATTAATATTAATAATTCGTGTGCAGAGGCCTTGGTTTGCATGAGTTATATAAAATTGGCCTATATTTTTATAGCAAGTTTTTCATATTACTTTTATACTTATTATTTATTTCTTCTTTTAGATGCTTTGGGTAGTCGGTATGCACCATGTCACGGCCCACTACATTGAATTTTCCTTTTATTTACTACCATGCCTCAGAATTTTACACTTATCTACCGGTGTAAAATAATAGTTCCAATAATAATAATGATGATTATAATAATAACAATAATAATAATAATAATAATGATAATGATCATTATCATTATTATTATTATTATTATGATTATAATAATAATAATAATAATGATAATGATGATGATGATGAAGATAATAATAATAATAATAAATATATAATATTATTAATAATAATAATAATAATAATAATAATAATAATAATAATAATAATAATAATAATAATAATAATTTATCAAAACCACAATAGGAAAATACACCAACTGGTGGTATGTACTAGAATGGAAGAAGAAGAAGAACTTAAAATATAATAATAATAATAATAAATAATATTAATACTAATAATAATAATAATAATAATTTATCAAAACTTAAAATAATATGTACGTTTGTATAAATTCTAGATATCGAAGATCCTGAAATTACTTGCCCTGACAACCAAACTCTGCCAGCTGAGCAAGGTTCAGTTGGAAGGCTGGTAACATGGATTACACCGACTGCTACAGATAATAGTCAGGATGTTCCAACTGTAACATTAGCAGATGGCGATCCAGCTTCAGGCAATACATTTACCTTAGGAGCTCCTCGGATTCTCACATACATTGCAACAGATAGTTCAGGAAACACAGCGACATGCACATTTGCAATTCACATTATAGGTAAGACACTGTTTCATTATCCGCCAATTTTATATTGGCTGCGTATTTTGCAAAGAAAAAAAAAAGAAA